CTGACTTATAAAAGATGGCTAAAAATCAATAACTGGTTAATCTGGCAAAACATAATAGAAATCACAAGAAAAAAAGATCTCAAGCTTAAGCTACATAAGGTCAAAGCATATTTTGGCAACAAGTATAACAACAAGCAGATCAGCTTGCTAAACAAGCAACTCAACTACTGGCAATTGTGTGGGCACCTATCAAATGGCAAACACATTTAGACCTTCATTACTTGACACAATAAAGTAGTAGACACAGTCCCAAGAAACTTTATTAAGGAAGTTAACAAAACAGTAAACATAAAGGTTTGGGTAAAAACCAAAAAAATACAACAGCTCTTAGGACAACAAATTGATCAACAAAGAAGCTACACATGGAAACAATTTTAAAGCAATATCAAACTTAATGAACTGACTATGTCCTTTAAAGAATGCAAGAAGAAAAGCTTCTGGATCAAACTGCTACACAACAAACTGTCGACATTAGACAAACTCAAAATAAGAAAACCCTGGCTTTACAGTATACATAACAGTTGCAGAGTCTGTAGTGTGGAACCCAAAACACAAGAACACCTATTTACATGCCCAGGACTTGAAGAACATACTAGTGAAGCATAGTTAGGACTCCGAAAAAGTATCAAACTGGTATTGAACTGATATCAAAATGGTACTGATCTATAGTAAATTTAATATATAGATTGTAACCTACTCATATGTTTTTATAGTAAATTTAAGTATCAAAGTAGTATCGAAGTGATATTGTTAGAAGCCTTAGATAGCACAAATATATCTTCCTTGCGACAAATGAAAAAGCTTATCCATCCAAAAAAAGATCCAAATACTGGTCCAGAGTAAGATCCAGCAACAATACCAAATTATTTTAATAAGTGACTTCAATGTCACTTTTAATCCCAGATATGACCGAAGAAACATAGGCTCCAGTAAAACCTTTACCCTAGCTGAAAAACCAAAAACACAAATATTTAGTCATCTCACTAATCAAAATCTCATAGACCTTCAACAACTCTGAGGCAGTGAGAAAGATACACATATATGGTTCAATAACAAAAGCTCAAGCAGAATAGACTATATTTGAAGCTCACCAGCTATAGCCAATAGCTTGATCAGCTTTAAAAACAGATACTTTAAAGAGATTACAAATAGTGACCATACTAAGGATGAATCCCTAAACTATTTAGCATATAAAATTTTGCAGGTCAATTATGTCCCTTTTGAAGGAACATAATTATTTATTCATTACTTTAATAGGAACATAATTCAAAAAACACTTGGATCAAGTGGCCCAAATTGCAAAAAACCTTTGTAGGTAGTTGTTTTTTGATCTTATATTTAAAAAAAAACTTTTTAATAGTGAAAGACATTTGAATTATATCCTTGCCTTTAATTTAGGGACCCATCTTTAGACTACACTCTCTTAGAACTTTAAATAACTAAGGAATCTCTTATTCACATAGCCATAGAGCAGCAAAAAATGACCAAAAAACACCAAGAAAAAATTATAAACCAGGCAAAAACATTAGAGGAACAATGGACAAGGTTCAAAGACAAGATAGAAGACAAAATACGAAACAATAAATTCTACAAGGAGATAGCAAGCCTACATAACGAGGCATCAGATCCAGAGAACCTAGCTGATGAAATTCAACACTGGTACAGTGAGTTTGAAAGAATAATAATCTCATTAGTATTCAACAATCTCTATAGTGAAAAGAAATCCGCCAGAGGAATTCAAAAGCAACAAAATGGAATACAAAACAGCAAAGAAAAAGATCTAATCAAACTATACAGGCAGCTTCATAAATTACAGAAGAAGATTCAAAAAGATCCCACAGCAATAGAACCCATTGCACTATCCCAACAACTCAAAGACCTCTTGCTCAAGGTTATCAGAATCTTTTCAACTAACTCTCAACCTCTAGTAAATGAACTATTACAGAGCATAGAGAACCAGAACACAGTCCCATCTAGGGTTCTGATCAGTTTCGGTACTAATTTTTATGTAAAAATACTGAACCGAAAATTTCAATACTGTACCAATCGATATTGGTATTTACCGAAATTTATATTTATAGTATATTAAATAAAATTGCAATTTTTATTTTATTATATTATT